GTGGTCAAGAGTTCCTGGCTTCAGATCCAGAGGTCCCGGGTTCCATTTCCGGAGCTACCAGATTTTCTGAGAAGTAGTGGGTCTGAAACGGTGTCCACTCAGCCTCGGGAGGATAACTGAGGAGCTACTTGAATGGAAAAGTAGCGGTTCCGGTCTAGAAAACCCGAAATTAACGGTTGTGGGGATTCGTTGCTCTGACCACACGATACCCTCTATCCACTAAAGTTGGCACTAACTTCGCCGACAAACGGCGGTGGCTCGGTCGGTATAGTTCGTTTGCGGACTAAGGGCCACGGAGTTATTTTTGTTTGAGGGGATATGGAAAGAAGCAATTGTGGCCTATTCGACATTCTATACTCCATCCGCCGTATGAACGAGGATGAGTCATCGTGAGTTAAAGACGGAGATCGTTACGTCGTTAATATTTTGTTAATATACTTGTGGTATCCATACGCCGATGGTTAATTCAGACACGCACATGAGCACTGCCTACGCAAAGTATGACGTACATGGAGTGGATTGAGTATATGAGGGATTTGCCTGGAAGCACTGCAATCGCCTAAAGTTGTAGTAATATTTAGTCGCATGTCTGTATATATATATTTTTTTTTTCCGACCACAGTAGCCGCGCGGTCTAAGGAATGAACTGTCTTCTCTCCCTCGAACGCTGGGATCGTGGGTTCGAATTCCACTCAAGGCATCGATGTCTGGTTGCGTTTATTCTGTTTATGTTGTTCTGTGTGTAGATATCGGCCTTGCGACGGGCTGATCCCCCGTCCAAGGAGTTCTACCGACTGTGTATAGGATCAAGAAACTTAAAAAGTGGCCAAGTTCCAACGAAAGTCTGTAGAGTCATAGATAGACAGGTAGGTAGGTGGGTAGGTAGGTAGAAATCGAGCACGTCATTACGCATCGTCGGTTCTGCGAATTAAGTGACTCGCTGTTAAAAGAGTAAACTGGTGAAGTAAAATAAATAACTGTATAAGATTTGAGGTTTTCACGGCGGTGACTATGAAAAAAAGTAGTCTTCTGGGATGTTGCGCCGTGTAGATATTGTGTTAACGGACGTTTCGGAGGAACATATCGCCTATATGTACACTACGCCATATCCCAGGAGACTGCTTTCTTCAAAACAAATAACGTTTACCATCAAAGTGAATCGTTGTGACTCGTCTTATGGTGCGTGGCCGGTGTTTCCCGTTAACGCGGCCGTTGAGACATTCAAACCTTGTCCAACCTTACCCAGCCACACCTCAGCTAACGCCGTCTAAACAGAGGTCATGTTGACTCGGGCGCTTGCGGGACTAAGGAACCTCACGAAGAACGTGAGCCAGGATAGGCTGCCGAGAAATTCCAGTCCAGCACTTCCCAAATACGAGTGAGGAGGGTTGCCGCTACGGTAACCCGCTCTATTCAGGGCAAATTAATTTTATAATGTACCGTAACTGGATTTCATGATCCGAGTCGAGCGTTCTCGTGGATGTGTATGTTCATTCCGTTGTGAATTTGTGCCGCTAATGGAAGCATAGGAATGCAGAAAACGATCAGTTGTATTAACATCCCTACACAATGGCAAGTGCAGGTTTCGTGAAACAAATTCAATTTTCATACAATTGAAGCCTGGGTTATTACTCCCGTATACACGTATATGTGTGTGTCGCTGTGTTACGTATAACGGGGAACACGTGTATGGCTTTGTCAACTCCTCGCTTACCTTGGAGCATGGTGTCAAAAACCAATATAAACATCAGTTTAATAAATTTTACACAATGACCATTGTATTTTAACTCGTATTCAATGAATTTTGTGTGTGTATGTTTGTTCTTCATACAAAATAAACGCATCTAAGGGAGGTCATGACTACGTGCCTGCATATTCTGTTACCAAAAATTGCGACACAGGTTTTGATGATGTTTGCTCATTTGATGATTACACTAAACGCAATGTAAAGTTCTTCATGTGATTAACTAATTAAGCAATGCGCCATGAAGGCGTATGCAGGAGCTCAGTTGGTATAGCGACCGGCTACGGGCTGGACGACCGAGGGGTCGGAGTTCTTGTCCCTGTAGGGTAATAATTTTCTCTTCTCCACGTCTTTCATTCCGATTCTGGGGCCCACCCCGTCTCCTATCCAAGGGCTACCGGAGTATCTATCCCTGGATGTAAAGCGGCCGGGGCGTGAACCTGGCCACTCACCTCTAACTAGTACTGAGGTCAAGAAAACGTGGATCCAAACACTAAACGTTACCCCCCTGTATTGTTTTGGTTTGTGACTGTCGATATATAATANGCAATGGAGGACACCCCCTCCCTACCCAGCAGTGACGTGGCAGCTCTGGCCACGGTGACGTGGCGGGTGAGTCAGCGCTCCGTCCCCCCCCCCTCTGAATTGTGACATGGCACGCAACGCAGCTGTGACACGGGTAACAGGCAACAGCGGTACCCATTGCGTAACAGGCGGGCGCTGCGACTATATAAGGGAACTACACAGCCGCCGAAGTTAGTTAAAAGTGTATCAGCGGCCGAAGACAGTTCTCCAGTCAGCAGTGAACAAGATAAAAGTGTATCAGCCGCCGAAGTGAGTTCTCAAGTCAGCAATGAACGCGTTCTCAAGGCAGCAGCCTACGAGTTGAGTTGGAGTATAGCAGCCGTCGCGGAAAGAAGAACCGGACGTGTGTGTAATTGTGTAATTGGGAGTGTGTGATACAGGGACACTTGTATAGCTCCCGTATCGTAATTAATATGTGTATACTACTGAGGACAGAGTGGACAGATTAGTGCATAGGGTTTGTAAACTGTGGAAACCCGCAACAGTATTGTAATTAATTGTAGCCGTTACTTGTAGGTTGTTAAATAAACCAATTAACAATCTGAACGGCGTCTTCAGTAACCAAAACACATTACAATAATTTGAACCGTTCATTCAAAATATACGTCTGAAATTATAAATCTTACAGACAGTTAGTAGAACTCCTTGGTTGGGGATCAGCCCATTGCAAGGTTCTTATGCCGACACACATCACAGGTACTGAATAAACGAAGATATACATACAGTATACCGTGTGGGATTCGAAAACGCGATCATAATGTTCGGTCGATCTAAGAGGGTACGCGCTTTAAGGTTCGGCCACACAGAGCGCTACGCTATATTCGCTACGTACGCTGTGTGCACTCTGCGACGCAGCTAACCTAGGGAACATAGCGTACGTAGCGTAGGGAAGTGTGTGTGGCCAGTCACATTGGCAGTAAAGGGAGATATTTTTCTGTTCGTATAGCGAACGTAGCGTGCGTCGCGTACGTAGCGCTCTGTGTGGCCGAACCTTTAGACCGCGCTGTCGCTTTGATACTAAATGTTCTCTGGGTAATCAAAAGAATGGTCTTCCAGTTCTGAATGAGTTAGACGTCTTAGACACATGAAGCCTGTGCCATCTACCTCTCGTTTCTTTTGCATCGGGTGTCTGATGTAGCTCTAGCTTTGGGAGTCCATTGCCTCACATTCTGTCTGAATGTTACTGTTCTTAGTTTCCCGAATAAACACATACATCTTGCAATTGGGCTTTCTTTGTTAAATTTAAAGACAATCAATATGGGCCAAATTAAATTCACTAAAATTTTAATGTGGACCACAGGTACCAAATCTAATCAAAATCAGTTGAGTAGTTTTAGAGATGAAACATATGCCAGACCCCTCGAGATCCGAGCCTCTCACGGCGGCGGAATACTACTGCCTACTGTGATGTGACGCCGTGTAGTTTTGTTGTAGTTATTTAGCGACGCTTAACTGTAGAATACAAGTACATAGAGTGAGATGGTAGGTTGGCGAACTCAACGCTTGTGTCCTATTCGATGTACTATGCCGGTATTTGCCTTGCGACAGGTTGATCACTCGTCGACTGAGTCCTCCCGACTGTGTAAAAGATATGACGGAACTGAAGAAAAGGCCAGGGCCTAATAAAGGGGCTGTAGACCCATCGATGAATGAAATGAATGAACCATTGAGAGAAAGTTAGTTAATTAGTTAGATATACTTCTGCTGCGGAAAGATGTCCCATGGATTGTCATGGCTTCCCTCTCCTTGCGTACTGTTATATTCTTCTCCAGCCCCGCCTGGCGTATGTCAATCAGCCCAGAGCGTTTCTCGCTTTCGAAGTTGGTCAGTACCAACATTGTGGTGAATGGAATGTGTAGATGATTGGAAGGGGGAAACGTAGCAGCCCGACAGATATGTGAAGGGGGTTTATCCGTGGGACTTCTTGCCGAATCCGCGGTATGCGAATAGTACAGCAACCAGCTGCAGCGCACGGCCATCCTCTCCAACGAACCCAGATACACGGATCCCATCATCAGATAGTCAGTTGAGATTGAGCTCCAGCCCAACAGTACGAACAGAGAGGACGGTTTTTTATCTGAGCAAGCCATCTGCTCCATGAACAGCCGTAGGAAGCCTCCATCACACGACAGCAGAACTGGATTCTCCGCGGGGCCACGCAGGTTCGTGCACATTGCCCTTATCAGGACACAGTGTGCCCTCTCCGAGTACTCATCAGCCTTCACCCTGATGTTCCTGCTTCCTCCCGCCACCTCCTCTCTCATCCCTGCCCCCCGCATGCATGCGACTCCCTTACTCGTCGGCACCTTCCACGACACACCATTATACTTTCTCCTACACCGGCTAAAACGCCTCTTTTTCATAACCATCAAAAATCATGTGCTTGTCTCCTATTGGTTCGCTCGATGGTCGTGTGAGAGCCGAGCGGTTTCGTTCTGTTCTACGGCGAGCCAATGGGAACTCATGTCCACTTCCATTTCCGTCCTGGTTCCTACGTAATCCTAAATTTTCGGCCAGCCCATTACGCGGCTTGCCACCAGCTTTCACTCCGGTATTTTGGTCGCCTTATTCGACCCTGAAGATGGAGGCGATAGTTTCTCCGAAACATCAGTTGACTTTCAACGGATTATACGGCATTATATACCAGAAGATGATCTATCTTTTTTTTCAGGTCCGACTTCTTGAGGGTGCGCGGATTTGACGAGGAAATCGTTGGTTGGGGTGGAGAAGACGTCATGCTGTACCGGAAATACGTCAAAAGTCATGTGAAAGTGGTGAGGGCCACCGACCCCGGGATCTTCCACATCTGGCATCCCAAGGTAAGTGGAGGCATCTGTTGTTGAGAGTAATGTATCAGTGTTGCAAGGCTTTCAGTAGTTCAGCATGTGAATGCCATCTGTAGGCAAGCCGGAGTTCTCGCTTACTGACCGTTACGGCATTATTTTCATCACTTAATTTTAGAGCAGAAGTGAATTATTTTAATATAAATTTTGACTACATTTTCTGATTATAGTAGTGAAACTTGATCTAAATTTATGTTATGAAGCTGTTACTACTTGATTTTCCTCCACGCTATTACGCGTTCATTTCACGGTGTGCACGAAATGTGCACGTGCTTCAACTTGAGGACTTCTGGACGGATTTTGATGAAATTTGACATGGACATTAGTCGTATAATATTAGAGGCTACCCCGAGACTCGTAATTTTATATTTTGTCTACGATAAAGAAGACCAGTATGGTAGACGAATAAATTTCTGAGGTGGTTATGACAGTAGGGACAATATAAGATTCTGAAGTTATATGTGGCAACAGCTGCTTGAAGAATACACATGTTTTGTTGAGACAGTTCGGTTATGTGAGGCTAAATGGAAGCTGGTGGGAATATCTATTTTTCTTTCGGTGTCATGACGATAACTAATGAATCAGTGAAGTTAGGCATGTGAAATTTAATATGGAGCTAGATCATGCATGTAATTAGGCAACTAACAAACAAAGAAATCCGTGATTTTGGTCTGCACGCGAAATATTTCGACCGAGCCACCGCCGCTTGTCGGCGAAGTTAGTGACAACTTTTGCGGATAGAGGGTATTGCGTGGTCAGCGCAACGGATCCCCACGGCCGTTGATCTCTTATTTCTAGACTGGAGCCACTCTTTCATTGAAATAGCTCCTCAGTTATCCTCACGACGCTGCGTGGACCCCATTCCAGACCCAGCACTTCTCAGAAAACCTGGTAGCGCCGAGAATCGAACCCGAGACTTCTGGATCTGTAGCCAGGACCTCTGAACATTAGACCAAAGAGGCGGTCACGTCAACAATTGAAATCACGGCTACGGTGCGAATCTTTGTTGTTACGTGCAGTAAATTAAAATTTCTTCAGGAATAAAATAAATAAACGAGAGTAGTTGCTCTGTTAGGAACATTTCGGCTACTCTGCGTATGTGTCGGAGGGGCTGAGCCCTACTGAGGCAGTTGAAACCAATTACAAGAGACCTCGACTACGGCCTGTGTACGACGTTTGGTAAATGGAAAGCACACAAGCTGATGTCTGTTTTTTTTTTGCTTGGTTTTTGTGGGGTGTCTGCATTGAATGAACTGTTTTTGGCTTTTACCCCTCTAATGGAAGGAGATTCACACACTGCATTAATACTCCAAACCGCAAGGCCCTCATCCACAGCTGAAACACAATTAAACCTCTTCAACCTCTCAAAGAACATAAAAGGAGAAATACAACACCCTCTCCTGAAAAAAATGTCAAAGCTTAATGGTGGCAGCTGTGGCATTTAATATTTGCTTTCGAATTTCTTTGCGTTTTCCATTGAAAACGAATATAGATTTGATTTATTAAACAGTTAACATTTTTCACTGTTTTCGCTTCTTTTAGTATCATTGCATATTCGCATTTAATTGTGCAAACTTATTTCATAATTTTTATCTGATGAGATCTACTACTATAAAATGTGTTGAAGTTTCGTGGTGAAGTTTTTGGGCATAGAATCTACTGAGCAAAATAATTGTCTTGTATGTTCAACTTCTTCTCCTCTAGAAATATTTTTTTGAACACATTTAAACAGAAAAGTACTTTGTAATCCGCTTTAATATTAAATATACAAATTTTGTAATATGCATGAGCTTAATTTAGCAGTCCTGCAGGTACTGTATCTGATGCATTTTAATAATATACACGCGTTACTTTAAACCAGAACGTATGACAGTAACGTTGATATTCAGTTGTATTCTGTACTGTAAAAAGGCAAAGTTATCTCTGTGCCTAATTAGTTAAGCATCGCGCCATGAAGGTATGGGGGAGTGGAGATATAGCTCCACCAGTTCTGAGCTCTTCACTAGATGGAAGTCAGTGGGAATCTTCACGCCCACGCGCCTTTACCTCCGGGGAAAGAGCCCCGTTACCCATTGGATAGGAGACTGAGTGGGCCACAGAGCCGGTGTGGTCGCTCTCAAGAAGAGAAACATCTTGCACTGCCGGGAATCTAACCCGGACCGTCCAGCGCGTAGCCCATCTGAGCTAACCCGGCTCAAATTCTGCGGTGTGGCCCATATAAAAATGTTTGTTCTAGAACTGGACCCTTAAGTAATTCTTTCTAGCATGCCCATCCATTGGTTACCATTAGTTTTTTCGCCCTTCTAAATCCTTTCCCAGTGGAACATTAATTAATGGATGTTGTGTCAGAATTTAATGGGTTCCACGTCACTATTTGTCTGGGATTCGCTCTGTTATGTTTTTATTTACGTTCTCTTGTCCCGTCATCTCTGTTTTTAACGCAATTAACTCGCTCTTGTTCGTTCATTATATTGTGAAGCATGTGCAGAATGCTTATTTTATGGCCCCTTCCTTCCCCCCCGCTTTGCGAAGGGGGGACACGGGGGATGAGCTTCCTTGTTAAATAATGATACAGGGTGGTTAAAAAATTAGTAATACTGTAGCTTCCCTGCTCCGAAAGGAAAACTCCGAGGGGCTGTGACCATCACTTCTGGCATGAATAATAATATTAATAATAATATCAACTCCATGGAACTGGGCACTTCTTGAGAAACCGCCAATTGTGCAGCTACTCAAGAATTTCACAACTTTTTATGGAACCCGAATGTTCATTACTGTGTTGACGAGATCCCTCCATCGGTCCCTATCCTAAGCCACATCAATCCACTCCATACCACCACATCATATCTCTCTTAAATCATTTTAATATTATCCACCATCCTACGTCTAGGTCTTCATAGTGGTCTCTTTCCTTCTGTCATACCCACTGATGTTCTATATGCATTCCGCTTCTCCCTCATGCGTGCTACATGCCCTACCCAACTCATCCCCCTAGAGATGATCATTCTGATTATACTTGGAGAAGAGTACAAGTTATGAAGCTCCTCGTTATGCATTTTTCTCCAACCTCCTGTCACTTCATCCCTCTTCAGTCCAAATGTTCTCCTCAGCACCCTGTTCTCAAACAACCTCAGTCTGTGTTCCTAGTTTAATGTCAGAGACCAAGTTTGACACCCATACAGAACCACAGGCAAAATTGCAGTCTTTGTATATTCTAATTTTTTTTAGACACAGACGAGAAGATAAAAAGTCCTGAACTGAATGAGGAATAATAATAATAATATAATTCAATTCAATTCTGTTCTGTTCTTATTTATTTGCGTGCTAACAGCCCAGTGGCCAATTATAAAGTGAGCTGGGGTAAAGAAACAAACAATACAAAAACCTGGCAAATTATGTGAGTAGTATTGTCGTCGGGGATGTGACGCCGTTTAGTCTGGTAGAAGTTTACAGAGGTTTTTGTGGATATTTTTGCCTCCATCTTCAGTGTAGAAGAGTAAGCCAAGCCAACAACCAGCAAGAATTAAGCAGTGAAAAAATAGTTGAAATTAATCGCGGACTCATTTCCTTCGCGTCTCCATGCTTCATCCCCCTTCTTCATCTCCATTATTTCTTTTGTACCATTATCTCCTTCTGCCTTACCTTTCTCCGCTAAGACAGTGAATTAAGTTATATTTTTTATCGCTCAGATGGCGCAGTTTCTGACATGGAGCTGCCATCTATGTAAGAATGTGAAGGTACACGTTTCCCATCGACACTGCGTGAGAACTAGAAACATCCGCGATAAGTTATCACTGATAACACATACGTACATAGTTCATCGCCTAACAGACGCGCGCGTATATAAACATTAGACAAAACGTATTTCAAATACAGTTGAAGAGTTGTAAATGTTGTGTCTTTAAGCCTGTTTTTTTTTTACATGTAATTTTTCCAAGTCGAAGATGATGGTTACCATTATCGATTTATTTTTACAGCCTTTGGTTCGTATTGCGTTTTAAATTTTTGTCTTAGTGAGTGTGCATGTATTGCTTTATACAGGATGATCCATTTTAAAACATAGCCAAACAGAAAACATATTTTATATCTCACTGAACATAATGCAAAATGGCTGTTCACAAATCTCTCCGGAAGTATCCTCCATTTCTCTGAATGCATGCACCATTCCTCTTTGACTACGTTTCGAGAGAATTTCTGACATGATGTTGCCGATAACATTTTAAATATTCGTATTCAGTTTGTATATGCTGCTTGGATTTCTCTGGTACACGTATTCTTTAAGGAAACTCCACAGAATGTCAGATGTTAGATCCGACTAACTGGTGGTCACAGGCCGTTTGAAATGAACCCGGTCGCGAATGACATCATCATAATCACTGTTGCCTTAGCAGCGACACGTACCGTCAACCTACTGAATTCTACAATTCCTTTCATGAAGCTCCAGTGAGGTGCCGTACATTATGCTACAAGCCGGGATGTCGCGGGTTCGATTCCCGATGAGTTCACTGGATTTTTCAGTCGACCTATTCCTTCCAGCCGCACGAAGGCCCTGGAGTCGACTCAGCCTCTAACAGAAATGAGTACCAGGAATCTTCAGGGTGGCCGGCGCGTAAGGCTGACAACCTCACCGCCATCTGTGAGCCGATTGTCTAGAAATTGCGGGAGTCTCGACGTCTCACAACCCTATGGGCCTCCGTGGCCTCTTACAGCGATAGCTATACCTTTTGTACGACAGCATAGGACAGTGAGATATGGTGTACGTTTTCTGTTGGTACGGTTTTGAATGGCTCAACCGGTAACCCGACATCGATGTTTTTCCTGCAAGAACCCAATAACACACGAGGCTTGTTGGATGTTGGCATGAGAAGAGTGTGTTGGAAGAATGTATTATTCCTACTTATTGTGGATCTGCCGGTTCTGCTGCATGGAACTCATTGCATGGAACCCGCACTGTAAGTAACCCATGTTTCGTATAT